AAAAAGACGCATTATATGTAAAACCAAGTTTGTTGGTAGCATATTTGAAATCTTAATCTCATTAAAAAATTAGTTGCTAGCCCACTATTTAGCATTAACACCCAGTTAGTACAGCACACAGCAGCTCAGAAAACTTTGGCCTTGAGAACTCACTAAGCATGGCGTTAATACTGCAATTTCCAGTAAGCTCATATTTGCCAGACTGAGGGGAAAAAAAGGAAGATCTCAATATGATGTTTTCAAAGAAGATATCCCCATTACCAACTACATAGCTCTCCCAGCAAAATCTGACCACTGGCAAGCTGCTAAAACCACATCACTCAGGCTGAAGCCAACAACTTTATGATGGAGACCCTGCGTAATAATATTTTCTTGTTTAACACCTATCTGGACTAAAAATAATTCTTTGATTAAACATAAGATCACAGTGATGCAAGCATGTGTTAGTGGAGACAGCAGGCATCTCTTCTGTAAGCCAAGACATTTTTGAAGGCAGCTATTCTGTGTAAACTTGTTGCGGGTGGCAGCTATGCAATTACACACCTTTTAGACCATAGTTTACATGTTCCTATGGTTCTGGCAAGTATATTCCTTAAAGCAAAATAATAAATTCTCGACTTCCCATACAAGGTGTTTCTCCTCTTGCAAGAAGATTGAATAGGATAAATAGCTTAAATTCAACCAAAGGATAACACAAATGTCAGTTACCTGACAGAAGCTAATGTTCTCAAAAGGGCGTGCTTGTGCAAGCAGTTCAGCTTTGGATTCTCTCTTTTCACCATGAACTATCAGCAATGGCTTCTTCCTGAAATAAAACAAGATTACTATTAAAGCATCAACTGAATTAGTAATCAACCCAAAACAGTCTTTGATGGAGCTATGACTTCCGGTCCCTAAATCCAATGACCCATTAGAAAGATGGCACTAAAGACTATACTAACGACATTAACTACATCTTAATGGTTTCTTCAACAAAAAGACAGGAAATAGGAAAAAAACAGAGTCAGGATCTAAGACAATGTTACTTTACAGAGAAGATGCGAAGGAGAAGGCTAGGTCTATTCCAGCAGTAGTTTCACATAATCTGCTCTGCTGAATTTTCAGTAAAATGCAAAATAGAAAAGAAAATTCAGTATCATAAGTGTACTTCATCTGTGATAACCTACCATTGTCAGAATGTCATTTAAAGGAAACAAGAGCTGTTCCCACAACAATACACAGCAACTCTAGCCATCACATATCATTCCAATCTCTTTCACACACTTCTCTCATGCTCTTCAACACAAAAATTTTCATTCTGTTTTCACAGTTCATCTATTCCACTGCTGTCTTGGCCTGCAATGGGGTGACTTAAATGTTACTTAATTAAAAAAAAAAATCAAAACCAGCCATACTGAACTATCAGCACTTAACACTGTCTCATAAAAAGGCAAGAAATCAGTAGAGAAACAGCAGAATAAGTGTGGAATAAGCCTATATGCACATGAATGAGTAACACTGGTTTATAATTCAATTATAAGATGAATTTACATGAACAGAGTGATTTGGAAACTGTATTATTTCATTTTTGTACGGCAAACATACCTGTATTCCTGTGGATACTGTCTCACGAGCCATGCCACATCTATACAGTAGTTAAACTTGTATATAAGAAGGAAAATAAACTCATTAAAAAGCAGTAGCAGTTTGTCAGAATGATGGAGTATAGAAAAAAAATGCTTTCTACGTGAAGTTATTGTTCATTATCACTTACATTATACAAACACATAATGATGCTCCATCACACAATGACACTACAAAACTGCAATTAGCATGTTTTAACAACGGGTTCATTTTTCAATTTCAAGTGCTTTCTTTCACATCTCTTCATTCAAGAATAAATTTAAGTTACTCAAAAGCATGTAGTAGTGTTCATAAAGTTTAGAATGCAGACAAAAATAATTATATGCACATAATGTAAAAGCTGAAGTGCAGTGTGCCCTCTGTCATGTGTTTACACCAAGAACAGAAGAAAAGCTTCCATTTAGTAACAAAAATCTCATGCCCAGATTGCAAAACACATTGTTTTATCATTCAATTACATGAAGAAGCATTTTTCAGTTGCACATTTCCAGAGCATAAGAGAGAAAGTAGTTTCACATTTGCTTGAAGTCTAAACAGAACATAGGATCATTTTTATTTTCAATAAATTGATGTGCAGTTGAAAGCATTCAGGGCTCCCTCAGTATTTTAATGAAGTTCCCTGCTGAAATCAGCTACATGGCAAAAACACGGATTATCACGTACAGGTTTGAGGATAGGGGAAATAAGCAAGCAATGGCAATTTGGCAAATAGAAAACTCACCTGAGCAGAAGATACAAGGGTCCCAAAAAGAGGAGACAAAATATCTATTAAAAACATTAAGACACAATTGAGTATAGAAAGCTTAAGTGAACCTTTTTTTTTTTTTTTTGTCTTGAACAGCGTGATTACTACAAGTGCTAGATTCACAGACTGAGTGTAACAGACATTGACAAGTTTACTGAGTAGAACATTCAAGTCCCTGCTATGAAATGCTAAGGATTCTATGATTCTATGCTTATGGTCTTAAATAGCATTATCCCTCTCCAAGCAGAGCACCAAGTTCAAAAACTTACTAGTAGAAAGACCAAGACCAGGTAAAGAAGGGGACAAACTACTTTCTCCCCTATAGAGGGTCTTGAACTTGGCAAGTTAGAAACAGAAAGGGCATAGCTAACACTTAAAGAGTTACCTGCTGCAGGTCATTTGTGCTAGTACTGACAGCAGTCCTAGAGCTCCTTGCTTTTTTTTTTTTTCTCCTTTTCAGGGAAAGAGAAAGGAAGAATACAACTGCCCACTGCTTTGATACCCTGTCACTCAGAGATACACAGACCAGAAACTTAACTATGTAGGGAAGGCTGCACAGCAAAGCAATTGCAGGATGTGTATATCCTTAGTCTATTTTATTAATGGGAACACAAAACACTAATCACACTGAGGATTTAAAACCTCATGAACTGAAAGCACAGCTGCAATTGCAAACTGTATCCGACAAATAAGTTATGAGATATTGTGTCTTTACTAGAACTTCTCTATAGGAACTGTTCTGCAAGTTAAAACAAAGAAATAGCCTCTGCACCAGCTCAAGCAATCACATAACATAATTACTCTTAAGAAAAGACTGCCCAGAAACCAGAGAGTTCACAAGGTAGGTAAAACTGTACAGGAGTAATGCAACCAAGGCCTCAGACACCAGGCTGCCTACAGTCACTGCTACAGGGGGCACATAAGATTGAGGAACAGTTAGTTTCCAGTTGAGTTATATGACAAAAACAGATTGAGGATCCACACAAAGAACTATAGAAGTTTCTTATCTCATTTTACTATCTGTGCACAAATCCCCTGTTAATGATTGCTTTTGATTTAGGCTTGCGACACATGAGATTCTTCTGAATGTAGGGATGGTTACTGGCACACACTGCTTTTTACCCTTATATAAAGTAAAATTAATTTCAGCCACCTGGCAATTCCCAAACCACCAGTGTCACATGCCACAGCCTATTCCACCTCTGACTTACACCCACTTTCAGTTGCACTGATGCGTGACTGTGAGCTCAAGCCACAGAAACTCACAAGGCAATACTGTGTACTATGTCAACTAACAGTGACTTACTGGGTCCAAACCACTTGGCAGCATAAAGACAAGCACAAACAAGAGGTAACAGAACTGGTTCCTATGATATTCATACTTGGAGTATGAAGTCTCATTTAAACCAAGGAATCTTTGCATTAAAAAACCCCATAAACTAAAATTAAGCATCCTCTTGCACACAAGACCCTCCCATCCAAAATGGGCCAAAGCCCACTTCTGGGAGAGCCACTTGCTCACCTTTTATGTGCAGGGCTCCAGAATTATAGCTCTGCCCAATCCCCCTAACTTTGGTGAGAAAAAACCCAAAGGGGTTGCCTCCACTCAGCAAATCCCAGGTATCTTGGGGTTCACCAGGTGCTTCGTTATAGTCCTCTGCTTTCATATTCTTTGAATGCTCATCTTTGCAATGACTCCGAGGTTGCTCTCTGGGTGCATCACACTTTTCCTCTTTCAGTGTTTCCTTGCTGGCGTGCTTCTCCCGGTCTTCAGGCTCTTCATCGCTACTAGAAAGGCACCATCCCAAGCCCTCCTGGCCAGGCCTCTGCTTTTCTGCAGGAGGTGTTTGTGCAGAGAGATGTGTGTCACTGAACTTCAGTGGAGAAGCCTTCCTCTTGTGAGCGGCCCTCCTGGCCTCGGAGCAGGGGTACTGCGGCGCGCTCGCTTCACTGCGTGGGGCACTCAGCAGCGAGGACGTCGAGGGCTTTTCACTGTCAGAATTCTCCTCAGTGCTGTCCTCACTGCTGGACACAGTCCACCGCCCGTGAGCACCTTCCTGAAGCATGTTGCTACAAAGGAAGAAGAGACTAAAAGCCACGCTGTTTCCCTTCCCAGGCTCTGCTTGCCTGTTATAATGACCCCCCCAGATTTGACACGATCCCCGTATGCAGAACAACGTGCAATAACACTAAAGCTGCTCCAAGAAACAAAGAAACGCGGGCAATAGAAGCGGCTATCGAATAGGAAACGCGGAAAGCTGCATGTGAGAAACCAGCTCGAGCAAGGACACGTGCAGCAAAGCACTCCGAGAGCAGGACTGGCATCACACAGCACTCCTCGCACAGAACCCAGCGCTCAGAGGCGCAGCCCACATCGCTACGAGAACGAGAGCTCGGAGCCCGCCCGCCGTAACACCGCCCCCGAGGCGGGCAGAGCCGCGGCCGGGCGGGGCCAGCAGCAGCAGCGCGCGGGAGCCGCGGCCGGCTGAGGGGGCGCGAGGTGCCGCCCGGACCGCCGCGCTGCGCCTCCAGCCGCCAGTCCCACCCCTCACGGCAGCAGCGATGGTGACGTTACCGGCCCCTAACCCTGCTCGCACCAGGACCCCACGAGCCTACCGCTCACCCCAGCACCTCTTCGCGCCAGCGTGCGCCCGCCCCTTCCCGTTCCGGAAGGACGGCAGCTTCCCCAGGCGCTCAGGCTGGGGACCGAGTTGAGGAGGAGGAGATGGGGGAGGCGGTGCCGCCTTCGCCCCGCCCCGCACGGCGGCGCCGTTGCCGGGCAGCCGCCGCCATGGGTTCGCTGCGGGGGCGCTGCGCCGAGGTGCGTGACGGGGCTGCTGCGGGGCGCGGGGGAGGCGGCGGCGGCGTCCCTGGGAAACGTGGCGTGCGGTGCGCAGCCCTTGCCGGCTCCCGCGTGCCTCTCGTAACTTGTGAAGCTGCCGCGCGTTACCTCGCCGAGTTCGTGCGATAAGCTGGCATCGGACCCCGTGTTAACTCAGGGCAGGTGCGATATTTGCATAATGATTCTTTCAGCTCGGTGTTAATTACCGCAGCGGAAGCGCCCTGCTAACGAGCTAACTGCACGGCAGCTTCCCCGTCGTGGGAGGGAAACAGGTGTGAAATAAGTTAGAGCACGGGCGGCATCGAGGTGAGCTCCGTCAGCAGAGCGAACTGCCCCTGTGTGGGACTGTCGTGCCTCTGCTACAGCCTGTGGCTGCAGCTAAGCAGCTGAGTGCCTGCTATCGTCCCGTCATGAAATCAGCGAGTGCAGCTAGGAAGCGGTCTGCGGCGCTTCCACTCGTTTCTGTCTCTTTGTTTGTGCTTTACCGCAGAGTTTTGAGGCCATCTGGAAGGAGCAAACTCAGTGTAGTTTGGTTCTCGTAATCTGTATTGTATCTCCTAAGTTTGGGTGGAGGGGAGAAACCTTTTAGAAGAAGAAGGAAAAAGTTTTAAATAATAAAAAGGACCAAAATGGACCATCAGCTTCCTTAATGGTAGGCACGTACAGTTATTACAGAGGTGGGACTGAGCTTCAGTATATATATTTTTAAATCATTAGTTCACTCAACAAGTGCTTATTTTATTTTTCCCATAACAGTTATTTTAAGTAAAAAACACTGCATCATGTTTGTTGTTTTTAACGCAGATCGCTTTGTTTCTGCAGGTTTTTGAAGCGTGCGATGAAGGTAACAAAGGCTATCTGAACAGAGAGGACTTTGAAGTTGCTGTAGTAATGTTGTTTGGTTATCAGCTCTCAGAGGTATGTATTTTTTTTCTCTTAAATTCTGAATATCCAGCGTACATAAATGCCTTGCTGTTGAGAATGCTATTTGCTAAATGATCTGTGATAACTGGGTAGATTGGTCTAGAACTGGTGAACATAAACACCTGCAGATTTTTGAAGTATTTTTTTTTATCTGAGGATGTTATTTCAAAAGAATACAATCAAACCTTTCTTGCTGAGGAGTTATTCTGTAGACCCCGATGAGCAGAAGTATGCATTGTGTTTCATATCTGTGTGTGACATACGAAAAAAGCGATGTACTGGACTCGTTATTGATCAAGATTCAAAGTCAAACTTGTTTTTTATTAGTAGTATGCTCCGTTTCTTTACATAGTGGGTTCATGAGATGTGAAACAATTGCATGTATTACTAATAAACATGTATTCTCAAAAACACCTATTTTTGGTTGTTAATGGAAGCTAGGCTTTTTTAGTCTCGACTTTTCTAATATAAATCTATAACTGTATGAAATTCTCAACAAAATAAAAGTTTTGAGAGGAAATCACGTGTTGTGTGCTTGTAGGAGGATGCAGGATAAATTCTAAAGCTTTATGCAGTTTGAGAAATTACATTCCTACTCTAGTAAGGTAAGTCATCACAAAAGCAACATAAAGAATACACACAAGATTCAAAATGTCTGTGAGGCTTTTCTCATAGTGTGACAGTACAAACCTGAGCAATGTCTTATACTGTAAATTTAATATAGAAATTATGATTCATCTTTCTTCTTCTCCAGGGACCACTTGTGAATAATTTTATACTTTTTTCTTTCTTTCTTATGAATTTTCAGAAAATAGCCTAAGATGATCATAGATAACTTTTTGTATATGATCAAATAATGTAAAAATCATATAAATATTTTATTTAACTTTGAAAGGAGTAATCTGTTACATTTCAGTTATGAATAAATATTTCCCTCGTGAACTAGAGTCAGATCTAAAAATAATTTAGATTACTAAAGTGAATCTTAACTGCTGAGTTCCACATCTGCAAATGCTCAGTTTCCCCTTACCTGTCTTCCTGTATGTTTTTATACTTGTTTAAAAACTAGCTGTTCTTTTCTTACATTCCCTGAATGTTGTCGGGGTTTTTTTTGTTTTGTTTTGTTTTTCCCCAGTAGGTGTTCTGAAAGCATGATTAAGGCATTCAAACGAGCAGTTTCTGTGCGTAAGTCGCTGTTGGTTCCTTTCTGGGAAGAGAGTAGAAGTGGAGGACTCCCAGGAAGAAGGGAGATGCAGGTTTAGTACTTTTTTCCTGGAAAGGTGCCATGTCACACCTGTTATGTCTCTAGACAGTGCTGTGACTACCTGGCTGTAGACTATTCTTCTGTGCAGCTGCACAAAAATTAATTGAAAACATTTGTTCCAGGAGTTATTCTGTCCTCTGGTGGTTTTGCTGTTTCCTTAAGTGGTCACAATTCTAGCAGCTGCTGCCCTTTATATGGCAATCACTTACTGTGGAATACTAAAAGCCCTGTGTAGATGGACACATGAAGCAGACTTCATGGCTCTAACACACATTAACTGTGGCTTATGGCACAGCCATTCCTTTTGCTTTTTCCTAAGGCTGAGCATTGTAAGTGATCTCTTCAATGTTCTAGTGTGTTTTTCGTTGCTTTTATATAGTTTCAAAAAACATAATGCTTTTGGTACACCAGATAGGGACTAAACATAGAAGTTGTCGACCTAAAAACTGTTTGGAATCCAGCTCTTGAGTGTATTGTTGTACATTTTTCCATGTTGTCAAAATGACTGAAAAAAAGGATTACAGTGGAAATCCTTGTATTTTTTTGGAGTCACTAAAAATAATGACACTTAAAGGACTTTTAACAGCTTTGCAAGAAACAGGCAACAGTGGATGTATGTTAATTAAGTTATGGCAAAACCTTTTACTCAACTACTCAGTGTATTAACCTAATTTTTATTTCATTAGGAGTGGCACTTATCTAGTATCATCAACTGCAATCAATTGGTTGATTGCACTTTTGGTAATTTGTTGCTGCCTATTTTTGGTCATGTTTTCATTTATTCTATAAATTAAAAGTTATGCTAACTTTCCCCACAAGATGTCACCAATGAACTCTTTACTGAAGGAAGTAGAAGCTAAAAATTTGATTCACATTCCTACTTGTTTTTTTCTAAATCATTTGTTGCAATTTAACAGAACTCTTATTGTTATTGTGTGTTTATTCAAAGAGATTCTGAACTTTTTACTCTCAAAATTAAACCTGAGACAGGTAGCTATGAGTACATGAAAATGTATTCCCCTAGAATATTTTAACTGATCTAAAGCACTGTCATATTTCAACACTCATTCAGCTTGTTAACTGTATGTTTGGACACTTTCAAATGAAAAGGTACTGCAGGAATAATAGTCATGAGAACATTTTGTTTTCTCAGCTGAAGTTTCATTCCTGGTACTACATGTTACACTTAGGTCTAAGCAAAAGCATTCTCCACTTTGCCTAGGTGTTCAGTGGCCAAGAAGCATCCAGTCCTTTCCCTGACCTAACTCCATCCCTTTGCATCAGGACACCTGTGGCTCAGCATCTGCTGCTGATCAAGATGCCAACAGCAGGGCACCTTGGCATCTGGAATATGGAAGAGCAGTCTGAGCTCAGAGCTGCTTACAAATTCCAGCTGCTCCTTGGCACATCTTACCAAAGCATTCTAAAAAGAACTCCCTTGTCTATTTGCCCAATTCAGTCTGAAAAAAGCTTTGCAGGCCAAATGGGATATGTAGACTTAGGTTAACTGGTCACAGCATGTTTGGCACGTCTGTTCTCCAGAATAGGCTGTACTTTGATTGCAGTAAAAGCTGCCAGCACTTTATCTCTTCCTGTGTGAAATGTTTCAGTGCTGCAAGTATGTGCAGTCTTGTATTCTGATAGCGCAGATGGAAGAGGTTGCATTCATGAACACTTGGTCATGCTAAAAAGCAATATAAACACAGTCCAAAGGAGACCACTCTGATTTTTTTTTTTAGATATACACTCCCTTTTTATTCCTTAAATTTTCCAAAGACCTTTGCCAGTAACCACTTTGTCAGCTCCAAATACCATTCTAGAAAGTCAGTATCATTGTTTTTATCAGATCATTTAGCTTTTTGACTTTGTGCTATTAGTGAATCTTGGCAACATGCTACTAAATCAGAATTTTGGTAACATGCTAATCAACATCTATCCTTCCATTGTTTCTCATAGAAAAATTGTGAGATAAAATCCTACTGAATGACATTAAAAGATGTATATAATATGAAAGAGGAATGAATTGGCTTCAGGATAAGTTATCAAGCAGAATGATGCAAAGTTTTTTTTTTTAATTTACTGCTTTAGTCTGATTTACTAAATGAATGTGACCAAAAATAGTTTTTAGGAAATATTCCAATCAGAAAATTCTTTCCTTGTTTAAAGGCAAAAAGTTTCTGGAGAGTCAGTCTCCGACATTTATTTTGCACATTACATCCTTTCTGTGTAGTTGAACTCTAGTCTGCATAAACTTAACCATGCCTCTTAAATTATATTTTGTTTAAGGTTAGGATCTTGATGAGGATTCTGTTAGGTTTATGTGTGTTTTTAGTTTACTTACCAAGGCAGAGCGTGTTTTTTCTAAAATTAAAATCAGATCTTTTCTTCCTTAAATTGTACGGATTATGATACTGTAGTATAATATGTACTATTATGAGATCAGTATTTAGTCAATACACATACTATTGATATAATATATTTGGACATCATACAGAGTTCAGATTTATCACTTCTGTAGAAAACCACTGTTATATCTTCTCTGTTCCAGGTGGAGGTGGATTCATTAATGTCTTCTGTGAGACCAGAAAATTCAGGTAATATACAAACATCAGTCAGTCAATGATCTCTACTCCTTTTTCATTCATTAACTTGTAAATAAATAAAATCTGAAGCCTGATCTCTAAAGAGTTTTGAGAAACTTGATGCAGATTAATGATAAATGAGCTGATCATAACTATTAAAGAGGATTATAGGATTTCATTGAGTTTTGGCATATTTCTAGTGCCTTTATGATAAATTTAGCTTGGAATTCACGTTTGAACTTTTTCTTGCTTCTCAGAGTAGCATTTCTTAATATTATACAGATCAGTGATAGAGAAAAGTAATTAGAAAATGTTGGTGTTCAAGCTGATAAGTGTTGAGAAAGATTTTCATTAAAAACGTTTTTTCTTTTGATACCATTTCACTTTTCACTTGGGCAAATACGCAAGTCTTGCAGCACTGTTCAATAAATATTTCTGTCTGTAGCAACACCCTCTTAGCCAGTTCCACTTGTTTTGTTCTGTTTTTCCTCTTGTCCTCGACCTTATCAGTGGTGCCAGTACATTTGTTTCTGGGGCTGTGCAGTGAATTGGAGTGGAGAGCTGATTCGTGTGAAAAATAGAACTGTCAAAAATTTGGGTGTTTTTATCATTAAGTTCCCCCATCTCATTTACCATGTAATCCCGCTTGTATCAATACATTTAAAGGATGTTGTAAAGGCTATCTGTTTATTCTAACTGTGATGTCAAAGCCTATATTCATTAAGCCCTATCCTTAAGAAGATTTTGCTTCCCCCCTCCCTCCTAAGATAAAATGTATCAGTGTATGAATGCCTGAGTGAAAATTAGGAAACGAGTGTATGAAGATAGACTATGGATCTGTCAATATCTAGATGGTTTGAGTATTTCTTTAAGGTGACCTTTTTGTGTGTTGAGATACTTTTGCAACCCATTCAGTAGCTCATAGATTGCCAACTCTCACGATCAATGAAGAGGCGGCACTCTATTGTAGGAGTCATTCTATAAAATGAAGAATGCATACTGTAATTTTCTGGGCTCATATTTTCCTCTGAAATACCCTGAAAGAGAGAAAAATAAATAGATGGAAATCCTATATTGCTTTTTATGGTTTCATTTTCCTGTTTACCCAATTGAATGGAAAGCTGTTCATGCAGACAAGTTCAGTATGTTTTGGCAGCCTCTGTTATTAAATAAATTGCACGCATAAAGAGCCTAGCAGTTGAAATCGTGTCTTTGTAATTCTGGAAATTGAGACTATAATAGTTCTTAATGTATGGTTTTTCAAGAAGTGAGGAAAGAAACGCCAGAAATCTGTAAGCTTGGAGTTTAAGATTTGAATTGAGACAGCAGGTGGAGCTGAAGGAGCTGTCCTTTTGAATCACTGCAGAAAGAACAGAATGTGAATGAATCAAAAGAAAGAGAAGTGCAGAGCTTTTGTTACATTATTTGATGAACACTCCTGCCAGATACTGTCACCTTCTTAAGAAAATTCAGCTGTTAAAAATGAGCATAAGGCATATATTAAATTGTCTTTCTCATGCTCTCTGAGTTGATCTGTGCCCTCTTTGCCAAAATAAAATTTATCTGCCGAAATTTTTCTATCAGAAATTTGGCGTGCTTCATGAGAAGGCCTAAAGTTGTGGGGGTGTATTTTATATTACAGTTTTGTTTGATTTTAGAATAAATACTAAGTTAAAACAGAACTTGCAAATGAGGTGTGCATTTTATTTCGTTTCATTTTTCCATTCATTAAAAAGATAAATGTACAGGTAAAGACTTTCATATAGTTCACTGGCGGAATAACACCTAAGCTTAATTTTATTGTGAATCTCATAGGAATCTGTACCTGATTATTTCAGAGGTCTGTCCCTGCTGGGAATTATGCCAGATACATTGTTTATGCAGCATCTATGGATCTTTATCCTTGGCATGAAAGTTCTATTGACTTAGAAATGTCCACATTTCATTCTAGTGCAAAGGAAGATGAGATGGCAGATAACTTGGAAGGAAAAATAGAAATAAACTGATGCATTATTTCCAAGTTTAGAAAATACATGAGAAAATTTAAGAGAGAGTGAAATGTTTGCATGAGCAAACTTTGAAGACCTTTATTTCCTTTTTTTTTTTTTTGCATTTATATATATAATTCAGATGATTCATAATTATTAGGCAGTCATAAACATTTTTAAGTAGGAAATAAAACATTTCTTTTTTTCAGGAAGATTTATCTGAACTTCCAATTTTTCTAGGTATATTATTTGAAAAGTTTTTAAATCTCATGAGTGCAAAGAAATCTGCACAACTGTATAGTGATGAAACAAGAGAAATATTCACAGCTTTTGACATGCAAGGTAAGTTTTTTCTCCTAAATGTTTTGAGTATCAATTCTTAAACAATAAGGTAAAGCAGAACACCTGAAGGAAATAAGAGATTAAAATGTCGTGTGTATGGGAACTGCTGAATCACAGCCTGAACCTCTGATTGATCACCTGAGGTGAGCAATGAGTCAGCCATGGGAGCACAGGTGAAGGCAATTCACCTGTGCTGCTAGAAAGGATGGAGCCTGGCTCCACCTCTCCTAGACCCATTTAAGAGCTGACTACCAGTGGGGAAAGATCTCTTCTGGAGATCCTTCCTCTGGAGTTTCGTAGCAAGCCCAGGATATGGGTAAGCTATCCTCTTATCTATTCTCTTTTGGTGAAATAACTGGTATAATATAATTTTTGGTATAATAATAACAAACTCTCTGGTATATTTCATAATTATAACATCTGTACATTCATTGATTATATGGTCATGAATGCTGTCACATGAAGTAAAAAATTAGCAAAGTAATGAACACAGCAGTGATATTATTATAAGTAAGTTAGAGACAGTAGGCTGCAACATTCTGTTTGGAAGCTGTAGGTAGTCTGTTGTACTGTGAGCTCCTAGAAGACAAATCTCTAAGCTATTCACCCTACCTACTCTCACTGCCTCAGATGCCCTGTCCCTGGAGACTTTTAAGGCAAGGCTGGGTCAGGCCCTGGATCTGTGGTGTCCCTGTTCATTGCAGGGGAGTTGGGCTAGATGGCCTTTAAAGGTCCCTTCCAACTCTAATGACTTTATGATTTTCTGTTATTTCTAGTCATGCGTCTCCACTCATTTATTTATGCCACATATTTTAGAGATTTCTGTCTTTGGTGGCTGTAGATTATTATTTTTTTTTTTTTTACATTTCATAATAGATGAAGGAATGGAAACCAAAGTAATGTGAATTTTCTCATGTATTCTTTGTGAAGCAGATGTACTGATTCTTTCTTGCTAGAAAACAAAGAATAAAACAAGAAGTATCTCCCATCACCCAGCTGGAAAAGTTTATCAAGAGGTTCTCTTTAAATAGACATTGAGACTATCTTTTCTGATTTCTTCCTGACCTGAGATAGGACTATGGTCCTTGAAATGAGTGAAAGTGAAACATATGGTAAATCAGATGTTGGGATGATCAGATAAGCATCCACTGCAGCTTTTTGCTCTGAACTAAAAGTAGCTTTTGAAGTGTTATTTTTAGTGAGTTATTTCAAAGGACTTAACTGTTTCAAGCACTGAGCTTTTATTTGTCTTGCTATTTGCTGCACACCATCTGTGATAGCCTGGTTTGAAATGTTTTATTTTCTAGCTGGATCTGGAAGTGAATTCATAGCCTAACTGATCAATTGATATCACACTGGTATGTTTCAGGATCTTCAACAGTATTAAATAAAGTTTTTTTATGGAAGAAAGTTTTTCTGATACATAATGCTTATAATGGCTAAAATGTCAATGGAAATGACAGACTCGGAATGTAATTTCACATATTTTAGAATATATGTTTTCAAAATCTCACAAGTCTGAAATTTTCAATTTAAAATGTCTACTTTTAAAATGAAAAAATTTAAAAGAAAGAGTTGTGGAGGTTACAGACTTTTGAATAGAGGTCACAGTGGTACAGAGGAACTGTCAGGATATAAATATGCTCATTCCATATAATATAGCCATTCTAAAATATTTTGCAAATAAAATAACTTAGTGTATAATCATTTCAGAACTGTGAATTGATTAGCCCTATACAAACATAACAGTATGAAAGTTTCATAAATTTTTGTGTTTTTTCTCTTGTCTAATTGTGATTTAAAAGAGAGAGGATTCTTGACTTTTGAAGACTTTAAGAAAACCTTCAATTCTGTTCTTCCAAAATTATCTGAAAGAATCATAATTGAAGCCTTCAGGTAAGACTAGTAGAGAAATCCTTATTCAGTCTGGATAGCAGTCTTTTCTTTGTATATATTTTGGTTAATTGAAGTGATGATATTCTGTTGTACAACTGAAGATACAAGCTTCAGCACGTTATTGTGTTAATGCCTTTAATAATGAATACAATATGTATAAGCAATATGCGTGTAAATAATATGAGCAACGCAAATATAGTGGAAATAATGCATAAAATACATATTATACAATAATATTATTAAATACAGAAAGTAAATTGTTGACTGAACTGTTTGTCAGGAAGCCTGTAATTATTTCTCTTAAATATTCCTCCTGTAATCACAAAATCTTCATTCATGAGCTTTAGAATTAAAATTAGTGCACTAGTGAGATCTTTCATAAGATGAAATTTGCCTGTGGAGTGAAAGGATCAAATTTTGAGAGTGATTTATGGATCATTTAAAAAAAAAAAAATCAATCTCCTTTAGCAGTTGTAAGTAAATATTATTTCAAAACTATTTTGGAAAACAGTGTGTTCCAAAGAATAAAACTTTCTTTTTTGTGAAATGAATGATTTGTTTGGCAGTAGTTCAGCCATTGAAAGAGGTCCGTCAATCTTGGAGGTATGGCATTAGTACCTTTTTCTTCTTAAAACCTACTCATGCATATCTATTAGTTTGTGTGCAGTTCTCAAGTATATAGTTGCATGATGAATGTTACCCTTTGTTTGAAAAAAATGTTAACAATCTATATGGTCAACTGCAATGCTTGGAAATTCATCACTTTGTGAGGGCTGAATGACTTATTTCATTTGGTAGGGCACATATAAACAAGTATCTTCATATTACCCGTTATTAACAAAAACAAAGTCATATCACATCCTACAATCTCATTCCTTATTATATGGAGTTCAAGCCTGAACTTTATAAACATGCAGTAGATAGGTGGAAATAATCTCTAAGGGATGAGGTATAGTTTCTTGAAAACCAGGTGTTTCTGCTATCACTTTTTGGTACACTGCCAAGAAATGAGTAGGCATTGAGTAACTTGAGTGCTTACTTTAAGAACTTTTATGAAGGCCCTAATAACCAATATTTCTGTGAAGTGATTAGAAACTTTTTCTTGAATATTAAGGCTCTCTATATAAGAAATTCGAATTTAGTTATTGTTGTATTAAATATATTCTTTTCATTATTTTTCTTATGTGAAGGATTGTCAAATAAATTCAGACATAGCTTCATATTGTAATGTAGCTCTGAAAACCTGTGGTCCTTCTTTCTGTTAATGGAATTTCCCATTTTCAAATTTCCAATCACAATCAATTTATTAAATATAGGGGAGGTCAACCGTAGTTATGGTAAACCATATATCTAGTGGGGAAGATGTCTCAACAACAGATCTGCTAGCAGACTAATCAATAAGTATCACAGCCTGGCAAATGCAGTTTATGATTGCATATTTATGGATCAGGCTTCAAACCTGAAAACTAAAATAGAAAGAAATATTTTTCAAGCAGAATTTTGCATGTTTCCTTTGTTGATATTGAAAGAAAATGTACAGTAGCATTGTGTAATAGCCAATTCTGCATTAAATGCTTCAGAATTGTAATTTGGAATGAAATTCTTTCTCATTTAATCTAAATTTTGAATTCCCTTATAGATACACATCCTTTTTGAGTTTCTCTTAATTATTGATGTGTATATATGTTAGTAATTCCTACAGGACATAGGAACCTGGTCTGTAGAGGAAAAAGTTTTTGATGGGAACCCATTATCTATGTGACATTCACTGAGGAATTGGACTAATTCTAGTCTGATCAACAGTCTGAATGATCCCTAGAAGTTGGAGTGGTTTTGGTGCCCCCTGGGAATACAACTTCCTGTTTAATTTCATCTGAAATGAATGTAGTTTGTATACCGTGAACACACTGATGCTAACCAGTAAGGGGGGAAGACTGAGAAAGTTTAATAGTTACATTTCAGAGCTTTATGAAATTCTTAAAGGAAAAGTGTTTTTTCTATTTGTTTATAGAACTTTCACTTTAATGGACATGCTGTCTACAAGCTATGTCAGCTACTGATGGAAGATTCCATGTATTATTTTCCTATACTTTAAATGAAATGAAATTTTAGAGTATAAACTAAGTCTGTGGCTAACGTCATAAGGGTTTAAAGGAAACAGGGAAAAAAGTTAAAGATGTGTAATACTTAACTTCTCCCCTTACTATACAGGGCAGGGAATTAATTCCTCCTAGGGTGTGATTCTTGACACATACTTTTTCATAAAAATGAAAGCAGGGGTATTTTAGCTATGCAGAACTCAGGAAGGGGAGAACATCAGTAACAGTCGGTATTAAAGAAGAAGAACCCCACTGAAGTTGTTCAGGTCAAGTAGATTTGATTTATAGGTATTCAAAATGCTCATAAAGAGAAATCCATACATCTTACACTGGTTTTAACGAATGTAAGGCTTGAAAATGAAATGCTTGTATTTATCATTCATGTATTTTATGAATACTAAAGCAGTCCTAAAACTGCTTTATATAATATAATAAAGAGCTAAAGAATAATGGATTATTTTCCTATCTTACCTGTATAACTGTTAATTTGAAATCTTGTTATGGCTAAAAGGAGACCAGATACATAAAGCCAAATTCTGTTGTTAATAAACTGAAATCTTAGCAGTCTACTCAAAGAAAGATTACTAATATAAATCTAAAGCTTACATAAAAATAAAATACAGAATACTGTATTAAGGAGAAGTCTCAACAATAAAGTTAAATACATCACACACCCTTCATACTCCTTTCTGGTGTTATTCCAAGTCTTTCACTACCCCTCTCATGTCCTTTTGTGACAGGTTCCAGGTGGACAGGGTTGGGTGAATTGCCATTATCCTGTCTTGAGGAGTTTAGAATTCATGTGGATGAGTTCTATTCTCTCACTCTTATCATCCAGTGACAGTCATTTTAATACATCTGCTGACATACTTCACACATTTCCCCTTTCTTCATTTGTCTGCAAACCCATGTTGTATTCAAATTTATTATATGTGGCACATATTATGTTTTAGATACTTGTTCTTTGCTCTCTTTATCCATAGTGCTGGATTTGTACAGTCCTCTGTCTGCATTTCTCTGACTCTTGGTGAGTTGTTTATAGTCATGGTCCTCCAGTGTTAGCCTGTGCCCTGCATCTTAACGTTCCATGCTGTGCTCTTTCCCTCTGAGTAATGTGTCTTATTTTGGAAGGTCTCTGCTGTGAAGCTGGGTTGGTGTTTCTCTACATTGTTATTGTAAACTTATAAATATTTAATTTTACATAGTTTTAAATAGACTGAAGTAACAAGAATTTATTTTATGTTTGTGCTGTATAAAAACAAGAACAACAAATTAGATATGCTATCCTGACCCTTAAAAGACCTGATGTTAGAGATAAAGTAAGAAAAAAGCTTCAAGCAGGACAGGCAAACTCAGACAATGTTGGAAGAGTTTCAGTCTTCAGGCTTTGTGAACTCAATACATGAGTTTGAGACCTGTTACTGTACTGTATTTATTGGAATGCTGGGCTATGAAACATAGTTAATACCTCTGCTTTATTTTAACACTGTACAATGTTAGAAGATGTAGTGAATTAGTATGACTTTGTAATTGAGCTTCAGGTTGGGATGTTAAGTGCTCTATTTTATGGAAAATACAGAAGATACTTCAGCAGTGTTTCTACGTATAGTAAGTGGCCTTGGTTGTTGGTGGTGTGTTTTTTAAATTGGAATGGGAATAGGGCAAAATATATTTTCATCTCTTACTGATAAAATAATATTTAACGTAGGCATTCTTTCTCCTGATGGATTTCTTTCTTATAAATTTCAGTAATATACTTCAGCAATTGTTGCTGAAGTTTTACAAAATTTAGGCGAATTTCAGTTTATCTTGATTTTATTAACTGACTATAATCTTGCATCACTTTTAAATTAACAGTAGTGTAGTGTTTCTTGGTTTTGAGCTAATATTGCATTTCTATGGAACTTAATTCTCACGTGCCCAGTTTTCACTTCATTAAAGTGCCATTGTACAGTGAAAACTCAACGTCCTTTGTTGAGCTGCAGAAGTATCTGTGAAGGTAAATGATGTGGTGATACGAGATCATATGTTCTTTCATAATGGGCCTCTTTTTGATGCTTAACAGAGAAAAGAATTTCTTTATAATAACACTGTTGTGCATTTAGCAATGTTGATATGAAATGTGACACATCCTTCGAAGTAATAATTTGTGATAAATTGCTGTCTGTAAGTGAGCATGTTGTCTTTAAAACTAGATTCAAATTCTAGAAAAAAAATATTTAACTAATGTGAGTATGAATTAGAGTTATACAATATTATTAATTGAAACTGGTAAGAAAATGTCTTAGCTTTCTCTTTTACCTTTCTGTTTAGAGAAAACAGGTGTTTGCATGGTAAATCCTGACTATGATAATGGAAATGGTAACAGACAGAAATGAGCTGAAAACCAATTGCATGTGAATGTGAGTGAGTCTCTAAATGATGAAAAATGTCCTAAAGCCCGAAAATGAGCAGAAAAGTCTCATTCAGTTTTTAAAGCTAGCAAGCATAAATCGGATCTAAAGGAAGAAATAAAGGCATTCATGATCAGTGTTTTACGGTGCTGTATTCTTAGATTGATAGGATGACTGACACTGGAGGTATACTAGTACTCTTATGTGTATTGGTACTTTCCATACAAAAAAATGACCTAATTGTCGTGTTTTTCTTTTATATAATTATCTAATAACGAAAAAAATAACCTGTTTTACAGAGCAACCCCATGGAGGAAATCTTATGCTCTTTTATGCAAGTTTGATTTATAGACATATACTGCAGAGCACAGTGAATATGAAACATTCATTTTCCTATGGCTAGTTGCCATGGAAACATAGTACACAGTACAATGTCATTCCAGCTCTGGTGATGCCTGCAGTAGTTTATTCCTTTGTTGTTCTTGTTTCTTAAGCAACTGTCTTGAAG